CCAATCCTGAAGCACCTTGACCTGTTTTCAGGAACTTTAATGTGGAGGCTGAAGTAAGATAATGAGCACCATCATGCTGAAGAATTTGCTCTCTCCTGTGGTTTGTAATGTAATGGGCACCACAAATGTCTTGATCCTCAGGCTGTAGATGTTGCCACCACTTTGCAGATATCTTGCATGCCCCCATACTGAATGTAACCCTAAACCATGATTTTTCCTTCACCAAACTTGACTGAATTCTGTGAGAATCTTGGGTCCATGAGGGTTTCAACAGGTCTTCTGCAGTATTTGTGATGATTGGGATGCAGTTCAAGAGATGATTCATCTGAAAAAAATCTACCCTCTGCCACTTTTCCAAATAATCAACTAGGAGTTATTATGTTTTGCTCTTACAGCTGGGATCGACAGCAAGATTTTTGTCAGATTGTGTAGAGTTCATTCAATAAGCTGCTAGAAAATTACTCAAAGATTTTGGTCCACTTTATGGGCTTTCACACTGGGTTGTTGTAATAAAAACTTAGTTATAGGAGCTAGCCACAATTCCTGCACCGATACATTTAAAACATATGATTCGATTCATGCCTTCTGATTGGTTTTCAGGACATAGCAGCATTTGCTGTCAAAGGCAAGTGGCGTTTAGCAGCTTTTGCCAACCAAACTGTTATTTCTGAATGCGCTGACACTGGGATTTGAATGATTTGAAGTAAATCTATTTGTTGAACATATACTACGTGCCTAAAGCATTCACTCAGTGTCATTAAAATTATGCGCAGCGATGCTACTTTGAATGAGTCCAATTTACTAAACATTAAACGCCAACTATGTTTCACGAAAGATGAAGTTAAGATGCCATTCTTTTATTCCACATGGATGCTATGAGGATAAACAAAAGACCAAGACCATAAGTATGGTGAGAATAAATGAATGACAGCTTCTAAAATTGTCTGAGGGACATCTCCTTTTTGCCTAGTTGACCTACTTTGTGTTTTATTTGCTAATTTAAGCAATTTTTAAAAGATAAATATAATGTATAAAATTATATTATGTATATTACTTTGTAATACCTATACATCTGATAAGCTTTTTATATTAATGGACAATGCACAGATATTGATCTTTCACAATGCTTTAACACTACATTATTTGAATCTACCAAGCTTAGCTTGCAATGTTTACATTGTTCTACTTGCATCTAAATCCCAAATATCAGATCATAGCAGAATGAACCGCCACTTACTTGACAGATTTCTGTATTTTTCATTTTAGGTGGTTTATGTAATGTGTTTTATGTTTGGTAAACTAATTTGTAATTGCATCTTTGGTAATTTTCAACTAATTACACTGTCTTGTCCTGACATGTTGATTTAGAGGGTTTTGCAAAAAGAAGCACAAGTGGATTTAGCTGGTTTTGATGCAAAAGAAAATTAACTAAAAAACAAAGAATTGTCTAAAGTAACATTTTCGAAAAAAAAAAAAAAAAGTATTTTATTTAATAGCTAATATCCTTATCATTATCAGTAAAATGAATTTCTGAACCTATTTATAGGAGCCTGATAAAAAATGCTCACTTACAAGAAAAGAAGTCTGACGGATTTAGAAGGTTTTGCATCTGACCTGTTTATTTGTTGTACTTTCCCATTCACTGCGCTCTGAGTTTGTCCAACTATGACGACTTCCATTGCTGAGAGACCCTGAAATGTGAAAAGGGTCCATTAAAAATGAAACAATGCCTGCTTTAAGGGTCTAAAAGCATAAAAAACTCTCAAATCTTTGAGTTCATAGTCTGTTGATCTTGCAACTGCTTTAGCACTGAGATGCCTGTTTGGGAATGCATGCAACACTTTAACACTAAACCCTGGTTAATGTGAAATGAGGCTCATCTTGACCCATCCATCATCAGCATAAAGCTGTGCATTGTGTGTGCGTGTGTTTGGTGAGGCCTCTAGGTTGAGGCTTTGACCTCTGCAGATGAAGATAAGGCACAGTCTCTGACACCTGCAGAACGGTTTGAACACTGACCCACTCCATGAGAGGTGAATAGGTGAACTCAGATGTATCGCTTAATATTTACTATCCCGATTTGGCAGATTCGCAGCGTCCTTCGAGGCTTAACATATATGGCGGATCAAAACATTGCAGGCAGATTTATCCCAAACACCTGCGACTGCAAGGTCACAGAACTCATTTTGTGAGTGGCATGACTACTTGCTTATTAGTGGCGGCCGTGTCCGCTAAACAAATCTATTTGTGAGATTGTACAGTATTGCTAAAGGGCATTTCTGAATTAAATGTAATCAGCTTTACTGGGCTGTGTTCATTTATTAGTAATGTGCTTAAAGCAGATTAGTGGGCTCAGCCGTTTTTAATGATTTATTTTGCTGCTGAGATCTGACAGATTTTCCGCTATTCTTGAAAAAAAAAGGACATTTCCCAATTAGAATACATGCCTCCCGCTCAACACTTCCATGGTTTAATCTATTGTTCGGTGGGAATTATCATTTTCATTAATTGAAATGGATTCCTCTAATAAAGATTTGCCAGGAATTTTTAATCATATTTAACCTTTATAATCATTTAATATCTGGATGCTATTTAGGGGGAAGGTCTGGTATTTAAAAAAAAATCTGTCAGAAGATGACATTTTTAACAAAATCTATATTGACTATGCAACCTTTTTATTAGAGTGTAAAAGAAGGATTAAATGTTTGCATGCATGTATCATGTTATTACTGTTATTAGCCTTTTTATAGTAAAAGAGAGACATTCGTTTAATTGTTAAAACATGAATAACTCCTATAGTGCACCTCTTTTAAATTTATATTTTAATAGGAAACTTTACAATATTAAATTTGTGCATATACATTAGATTAGTCAGTACTGAAGCCAAATCTGGAGCTTATCAAACAAAATAACTTACTATAACGGTCCAAAACACTAGTACACTTAAAAACACTAGTACATAAAAAAAATAGGAAAATTTGAATTTAATTAATTTGAAAGAAATTGCAATTTAGTTAAAATTTTGTAGGCTGTAATTTTTTTCCCTAACATTTTGCTTGAATTTAATTGTATTATCTTTCAGTTTTTAAATAGTTTTGTTTAAATGCACCTAAATACATTGCCTATATTCACTGAGAAACAGAGAAAAATATTTATTTTAAAAATGCCATGTACTCAATGCTGAACACTGTAAATAAATATACACAGTTGAAGTCAGAATTATTAGCCCCCGTTTACTTTTTCCACCAATTTCTGTTTAATGGAAAGAGGATTTTTTCAACACATTTCTAACCATAATAGTTTTAATAACTCATTTCTAATAGCTGGTTTATTTTATCTTTGCCATGATGACAGGAAATAATACTTTACTAGATATTTTTCGAGACACTTCAATACAGTGACAATATACTAACGTGATATTTAAAGGCTGAACTAAGTTAATCAGGTTAACTAGGCAGGTTAGGGCAATTAGCCAAGTTATTGTATACAGATGGTTTGTTTTGGAGACTATTAAAAATATATAGCTTAAAGGGGCTAATAATTTTTAAAATAATTTAAAACTGCTTTTACCCTAGTCTAAATAAAGAAATATGACTTTCTTCTAAAGAAAAATTATTATCAGACATATATGTATACAGTATACTATGAAAATTTCCTTGCTCTGTTAAACATCATTTGGGGGGAAAAAAAAATCAAAGAGGGGCTAATAATTCTGACTTTAACTGTATATAATTAAAAACATGGGTATATAAACTGGTGGGATTCTTGTGAAAATGAAGCATTATTATGTTTACCACTAATGTATTAATAAAACAAAATAATAATTATTTGAAATATAAAAATGCACACAATAAAGTACTTTGATAGTAATAAAATACAATAATACATTACTAAATAATAATACAGCGATAATAAAATGTTTAATATTTATGATCAATTTTTATAACTATATGTACATACAGTCGAAGTCAGAAATATTAGCTCGTCTGTTTATTTTGTTTCATAAATTTCTGTTTAACAGAAAGAAGATTTCTTCAACACATTTCTAAACATAATAGTTTTAATAACTCATTTCTAATAATTTTTTATTTTTATTTTATCTTTGCCATGATGACAGTAAATAATATTTGACTAGATATTTTTCAAGACACTTCTATACAGTGTAAAGTGACATTTAAAGGCTTAACTAGGTTAAATTAGGGTGGTTAGGTTAATTTGGCAAGTTATTGTGAACGATGGTTTGTTCTAGACAAAAAAATTAAAGCTTAAAGGGGCTAATAATTTTGACCTTAAAATGGGTTTTTAAAAAGTTTAAAACTGCTTTTATTCTACCCAAAATAAAACAAATAAGACTTTCTCCAGAAGAAAAAATATTATCAGACATACTGTGAAAATTTCCTTGCTCTGTTCAACATCATTCGTCAAAAACAATTAATAAATAAAAATAAGGGGGGCTAATAATTCTGACTTTAACTATATGTTATTTATACTTCATGTATGTAATTTATAAGAGCAATTTGAGCACCAATAATAACCCTATTACAATTCTTGTCATTTAATTAAATTCTTTAAATTAATAACTCACAATTTCTCAGCAACAGTTAAATATATGGAATAAAAAAAACAAAAAACATTATATTACTCAGCAACAGTTCACATTTATAAAACCTTACTATTAGAAATACATATCAAACATTTCCTAAAAACCTTTTTGTTTTGACATTTCATTCCCTTATTAAAAACTATGCATTGTTGTTGTTATTTTTATTATTATTATTATTACAATTTATGCAGTTCAAAACAGACCGAATGCACTATGAGGGTTAGGTAATAACGTGCTATTTTTCTGGCCATGTGTAATCTGTATATTCACTCAAATACTGGTCCATATGGACTTGCGTTTATCCTCATCTGAGTGAACAACAGTCTGATTGTTAGATGTGTGTTCTCCAGCCGTTGGCCATGCCCGACTCACCGCCATCTTCTCTCGCTTTCCACAGTGTGGTGTGTGTTGGGGGAGATGGCTCTGTTTCTGAGGTGGCCCACGGGTTGCTTCTCCGGGCCCAGATGGACGCTGGGAGGGACACAGACTCCATCTTCACGCCTGTCCAAGCAGCACTTCCTCTCGGCGTAATACCAGCAG